TGTAAGACCAGGTGTTTCAGTTTTATTGTCCAACCCCTGTATCTTACATTACGGCCCCGTAGAAGATGTTTTTGTAAAAATAGGCTAACAATTGCGTCATAACGAATCGACTCTCCGTCGCACAGTACATTACCGTATAGACAGGAGGTGAAGCTTGCAGGCAATCGGGGGGACATGGACGCATAAACTCCTATAAAGTCAAGGGAGAAGCCCATAGAGGGTAATAAAGTTGATCCTGCTGCTAGCTCATGGACAGCTAATACTCACTCTCTCCGTCTCTGTGAGATTCGGAAGATTTTACTCGGCACAGCTATTAGAAGAAATACAGGTTGCTCACGTGACAGGCTCAGTTTGAGCTGGTGCAGTACGCCTAGCTATCAGCTTTTAACAGGCTTAAATTTTCTCTTTTGAAATCAATGGGGTCGCTCTGTCCATTTCTTATACTGTCTATGGGCCCTGCTAGCATCTCTGAAACAAGAACAGGAGAAGTTCACACGACAAAATACGTCTGTGAAAGACAGAAGAACAATCTATTTAATATATAGAGGCCTAGATTTTCTGTGATGCCGAAAGCGGAGATGGAATCCAGTCGTAAAAGTAGAATTTACTGTGGAATGTCGAGGAATTTGGCAAAATTTGGATGAATGAATAAAAAAAATAGGGCTGTATATTTTATCAAATTGCAATATGGACTGGTGCCTGTGAATGCAAAAACACTGCTAGTATGAATCTGCATGTTCTACACATGCTCAAGTTTTCAGCATCTGCTATCTCAATATGAGAATATTGATGTCACATATATGTCACTTTACCAGCATTTCACCCTTTCATTTGATAAAACTTATCTTTCTTTAAACTAACTCTCTTTAAAACTATTTTTAAGAAAAATAACACTTTTCGGTCTCTTTTGATTTAAACTTTACTTTGTACCTTACAGCACTTTGTTGGCCAACACATTTCTCCAATTTTATTTCATTACGTTTTAAATGAATAATTCAATTTTTGTATAAATTTGTTTTATTAAATCCTTTTTTAATAATGTATTTGTATTAAATAATGAAACAAAATTTAGATCAGTCAAGAGAAAAAACACTTCACAAGGAGGTATTATTGTTAAAATTTAAATAAATGATTGAATTATTAAAGCTTTGTAAATTATTCTCTTCAGTATTTTTAAAAGGTCTAATCCATAACAAAAGGAGCAGAGGAAATTCAGCTTAAGTTAGTGTGTGGTTTGCCGGAGGTCAGAATAAATGAGAGCCTTGTGAAAAAGCAATATACCAACAATTCCAACTTCCTATCTGAATGGGATTAGATTCCTCAGAGGACACTAATATTACTTGATCCTGAAAGTTGTGCGAGGACAACACAGACATGTCTGGGATTGAAATCAAGACACGACGTAAAATATTTACATTTATGCACTTTGCAGACGCTTTTATCCAAAGTGATTTACATAGCATTTAAGGTATGCTTTTTATATTGTCATGCTTTCCCTGGGAACAGCTTTCCCTTTTCATCTCCAGAGTCACTTCACCCAGTCACATCTCACATCACACAATATTACACATTTTTTTTCATCCAAGTTCTCATTTCATTCATTTCAACTGTAAGGGTCCTTTAAGGATCTAAGCGCATGGTCTAAAGCGCACGGCGCAAGTGCACTTACGACGGGTCCGAATCCACTTTTGCAAGTTTAACTACGGGAAAAATGGTCGGCGCGCCGGTCTAAAATGGTTGTCTCTATTCTCTTAATGAGTAAAGGATGTCTTTTGGGCATAACATACAATAAACCAATTAGAATCTCCCATTCCCTTTAAAAGCCAGCTGCGCTCGCGCCATGGTGGATTCGCAATTTACAAGGCGAAATTTGCAAGCGGAAAAATTAACGCTTCTAGCGAATAAACAGATCTGCTTGTGTGCGAGGTTAAAGCGAGACCATCTACGGGCCAACATTTTAGCACAAGTTAATATGAATGTTTAGGGTCTAAATGAAAATTTTGGAACATACTTTTATTAAAAATTCTCATTAGCTTTGTAAAGAAAACACAAATTTTACCTGGTCAAAAACTTTCACACCGTTTCAGTGCATATGCCTTTAAATGATCACGTGCTTCTCTGACTCTGCCCCTCTGTTCTGTGGGGCGTTTTGATACAGCGCATGTGGAGTGTTGCCTTGACAAAGGTTGAGGGTTTATTTTGGAGAGAGAATGGCAACGGGAGTCTCTTACCCCTTTTCCACCAAAAAAAGAACTGGTTCGGAACTGGTGCTGCTTCAAAGTTGGTTCGGAGTTGGTTCAACTTGCGAACTGCTTCAGAACCTATTTGTTTTTCCACTGACTAGAGCGCCCAGGGAACGACGTCGTTACGTCACTGTGTACGTCGCCATGCGTCCTAGCTAGAAACGCTTGCAAGTAGTACATTACTTTGGGATTATCTCTAACTCGTGTACCAAGAAAGTCTTTTAATCTCTTCGTTTGATATGTAATCTTTTCTGATAAGTTATGTACCCCTGTCTTGTGTCTTTTTTCTTTCCCTTTATTTGTACTATATTGTGACTGTTTTCTTCTTTGCTTATAATGTCTTCAATAAAAAAAATTACAAAAATTGAAACGCTTGTGTTAACTTCAAGCATAACAATTACAAAGGCGGACTCCATCGTGTTTCTGAAAATGTTTCTCTTGGCTTTGCGATCCTTTATTATGGTCAGAAAAGATGTTTCGAGCACATCTAAACCCGCCCCAACCCCCGACGTAAGCATGACGTGGTAAACGAACGGTTCTAGTCCAGCAAAGAGTAGGTGCCGCTTTGGAACCAGTTCTCCCGGCCGAGAACCGGTTCTTTGACTGTCGAAACACAAAGAACTGGTTCGCGCGCAGGCACCGGCTCCGAACCGGCTCTTAAAATGCTTTGGTGGAAAAGGGGCTTCTGAGGACACATCTGTGCCATCATATAAGTTTGTGCATCATATAAGTCGGACCCGGAACAAGATGACGGCCGAGGAATGCTCGAACAAGACGTTTCTCAATGGTTGATTAACGTAATGTCGTGATCTGTTTTGTATGTACTGGCAGGGTAGAGTAGTGAGATATGAACGCTATGTGTTTACTGATATATACGGTAACATTAGTTCGTTAAAAGATTGACGTTACAACTAATGGTCATGAAAAACTTTTTTTTTTCGCAATTTGCAAAGATTAATATAAAGGTTAATAAAACTTTACACTTACTTCTTCTGAAGGTGCAGAGGGAACATAATAGTTGCCACTGATTCATTTTTTAGGAGCAGCTTCTTAGCAAAACTAGCTTTATACGAACCATCGAAAACAAAACTCAGCCACTGCGTCTTCAGCGGTTTGGATTTAGGAACATCAACTGACTGTGTTCGTTATTACACCCAAGAACAGAACACCTCAAACGCTTAGACGCCATTCTGCTCCAGCGTATCAACAATAGCGGACTATGACGACAACTCGCTCAGGGCTGGTCTGGGGCCCGTTTCAATAAGGAGGTTCAACCAACTCTGAGTTAAAGCTTGAACTCAGAGTTGACTTACCCTGAGATGGGAAACTCTGAGTTTTCGGTTACAGAACAGCTGAAATGAGTTAGTTCAATCAACTCTGAGTTGACTGACTCTGAGTTAAGCGCGTGCACCACAGCTATAAAAAGCCATTATCAATGGAGCGCAGATATTACGAGTCACCATGGCAACAGCGCCAGACAAAAAGAGGTGTTGGGTATAATTAATTACCAAGTAATCTAAATATTGTAATTTAATTAAAGGGATTACTCTTAATTCTTCTTTAATTTAAAATAAAATATGATGCAATTACATTAAATAGGCTACTGCATAAACTATAGACCAATTCAGTATAAAACAATAGTGGATTTAGCATACATTTTTAAAAGGTATATTTTATATAACCTTCTCCCTCTACACACTTTGATCAATTCAAGAATAATTCATGCAATTGTATTGTTAATTTGAAAGCATTAAAAGTGCAGTTTCTTGTCTCTCCTCCTTGTATTAATCAAGTGGTTGAGGTTGATATAGGATTTAGTAATATGTAGACCAATACTTTCTAGAGATAGTAATTATTACATTAATCTAACTACACCGTTGACGATGTCATTTGTTGTTAATAATTCATAACTATTTTAGAGAAACTGTTATAATATCAGAGGTGAAACTGGAAGAATGTTATTCAACCTAAAGTAGTCTACTATTACTTTGATACATTTTTACTTAAGTAAAAGTAAAAATACCAGTCTAAAAAATCTACTGAAGTAAAAAGTAGTTAATTTAAAACATGAGTAAAAGTTGCTGAGTAACTTGTTTAACAGCGGGGGTGGGGTTGGGGACTCCCCCATGTGGGGTTGTAACGTATGAGAGTTTCACAGTATGAGAACCGTCTCAGAAAATATCACGGTTTATGGTATTAAACAATTGTTAAATATATAAACTGCATTATTAAATTACGGTTATTATTTTCATCAGTTAAAATGACAGTTAAATAAATTAAACATTTGTTCAATAAAACATAATATCAACTAACTTCAATAATTGATTATGATTATGATTGACATCTTATTTTTATCATGAATAACTTATTAAATTTTATTACAATTTTTTCAATGATTTAATAGAAATATATTATCCAAAACAGTGGTAATCAAATAAAAGTTTAGCAAATGTTTTAATCCTTTTATTTTTTGGCAAAGTGCTGCAAAACAGATTTAGTCAATTAAACCATGGACAAACAATATATTCCTTAAAGAATGTGTAAATACATTTTAGTATTATTGTTGGTGTTTAAACAGCACTTCCTCTTTAAAAAAGGGGAGGAGACCGCAAGAAACTCTGGGTTTACTGAAGAAAACCTGCTCCCGACCAGGTTAGGTTCACAGAGTAAGTTACCATGGTAACTGACTCTGAGTATAAGTTACCTCTCTTTCAGAAACGGGCTTGACTTACTCTGCTTTCTCGGGTTTGATATACCCCCCTTTCTGAAACGGAAAACCCAGAGTTTCCCTCATTTCAGGGTTAACATACTCAGAGTTTTCACTTAACCTCCTTTTTGAAACAGGCCCCTGGTGTTGACCGCTGCTGTCAATCAACAATCGCGGGAGGGGCTTCCGTTTTATTGACATCACAAAAACGAAGGGCTCAATTTGAGGCAGGGGAAAACATATAAGGAGATTAAAACAAAAACACTGGATGGATTTTTATCATTATATTATGGTTGTGTACAGGCACTGCAAACACAAATTTCACTACAATCAACTTGTAAAAGTGTACGCAGTACATAAAAATGATAACTGCGTCAGGCTGAAACTAGCAAAAAACCCTTGTCGCGCCTGGCACTGCATTGCACTGGGTGTATGACAGGGCCCTAAACCTCTGTTGTGCTGCACTTTGTTTTTCAAAAAAAAGATTTGATCATATCTGATCTGACTATAAACTACGGTAGTACCATCTCTGATACAAGCAATAGTGACAATGGGAGCAAGTCTATCAGAGATGGCACATAAAGGGATCTTATTAAAAGGTGTTTCTGATAGGGCTCTCTGGACTCAGTACTGCAGCATGTTTGCTCACGGCATATACTTCTGAGAGGCAAATTAATTTCAAGCAAGAGGTGCTATTCTCTTGTTAGGCAGAGTGTCTGCCTGCACGTATAAGGATAACAATCGAGTGTAGAAAAACAGGCTTCTGTCATGGAGAAAATTTGTGGAAGAGTGCTGCAGATATGGCTGAGGAAAGCAGTGATCTCTCGAAGCAGCGTGTGTGTGCAGCTGCACATTTCTGATATAGCTTCCCTAAAGACATCAGAGCGAAACGAATGGACGGCACTTTGACTACTGTCCATTTGCATGTCCACTGATTTTTAATATGGAACTAAAACTCTCAGGAAAGACCGCAGCACATTGACTATATTGATGGATATTACTTTTTCATGACCATATATATATATATATATATATATATATTTACATATACATATATACAGTATATTAGGGCTGTCAGTTAAAAGCGTTATTAACAGCGTTAACGCAAACCCATTTTAATGGCGTCAATTTTTTTTATTGCGCGATTAACAGTCTTTTTGGCCTAGCACACTTTGTCATGTTTTGCATATGCTTTTGCAACAGGACGCGGAATGAAATGCATTCCTTTCAATGGCTTGCGCCACGTGAGGACGTTTTGTTGCTTCGTCGACCAAAGCGCAAGCGGATCTAGCTAGACCGGAAGCAAAACAACAGATTTGTTTGGGGTTGCAAGACGGTCAAATAGTTGGTTTACGTTACGTTTTGAGTGGATGACGAACGCGAGACGCCGGAATGAATGCCAATAAGATTCTGAATGGAAAGGTTAGTTTTAAAAGTTACCAAATGGTCCCATTGACAAGACCAAAGTGATCTGTGTGTTTTGTCATTGTGAACTGAGCTATTTTCATCGCAGCACGTCCAGTCTGAAACGCATTTGATTGATGGCCAAACACACACACAGCTGATGCGAATTCTCCGCCCCCTTCGTCAATATCAGGACCTCGTCAGTATTTCTTTCACCCTTTTATTGATGGACAGTGTTACATAGTTTTAGAGATTATTAGCTCCAAGTGAGAATGTTAGTGTGAAATTGAACACAGTATAGACCTTATGTAGCTCCGCCCCTTTTCAGCGTTGCGCTCGTTGTCTTTTGACTTCCGGTCTGTATTTCCACAGCGATCTTGCATAGGTATGAATGAACTGCTCGTAAAAAATTCCCGTTCGACATTTGTTAAGACATCTCCTTTACAATGCTTATGATAAACATTACAATGCTCATAACTTTTGTAAGTAAATCCACTTCACCAGCTAATTACTCCGACAGCGATGCCATAGAAATATACAGAACCGAAAGTTCAAACAAAGCCAATATTCTAAAGATGATGGCGCCCACATTTCTCTGGTGCATAAGGTCTATCCACAAGTTTCCTACGCCCCATGAGGCCTTGCGTCAAAAGTGGGCGCAACTTCCGTTTTGAAGTAAACAAAGCACGATTTGACATGCTTGACACTCGTTCATTCAATAGTTGACAGTCATTCAAGTTATAGCGATCCAAACTAGCTAACGATGTGGGAACACAACCTCAACGAAATTAAAAAGGGTGAAATAACAGTACCTTAACCCTCTGCAGTAGTTGACTGGGAGTATTATAATAACATTATTAATAATCAATACTCATCAAGGCATGGTGATAGACAGTTGTGCGAGCTGACAAACAATTAAAATAAAAAATACACACTTAGTCATTGTGCTTTGGAGTTTATTCAAAATTATAAATGAATGTGCTACTTGAATACATTAACTGGCACATTTGGTATTCTGTCAACACAGGCTTTGATCCTGAGTTTAAGTGTAACATCAGTAGAGAACATCCAAACACATGCTGATAAAATTTGATAGAATATTAAGAATTTAAACAAATGTACACAGGAAGATTCGTCGTCTTTTGGGAGGTGATGGAAACTACAGTCGTTGGCAGGATCAGAGACGGGCTCAGGATCACTCTGATTTCGTTTTCAGCTTATGTTCAAAACAATCACGTTTAAGCCACTGAATTAGTTTAGTCCGGTTATACATACAACCGCGAACAGCACATGTTGCCCCTGAGCTCCGTAACGACATCTCTCATAAAGATTTGCGTCTTTAAATAGTAAAATAATTCTCCGAAAAACATCTAGCCTCTTCGCTAACTAACACACAAAATACCATTGGAATATACTTCCGCCGCGTCACCGGAAGTTTCACCCACTTTATTTTTTACAGGAGCGCCCCTCGGAAACTTGTGGATATGGCAACGTTGTTTTCAATAAAAAAAAAATTGCACAAAGCAAGCCGATCCACTTTTCCATGTTGATATAAGAGCATTAAGTTGAGAAAAAATAAGATATTTAGGTCAGATTAACACGTGTGATTAATTGCGAGTTAAATACCATGACATCAATGAGATTAATCGTGATTAAATATTTTAATCGTTTGACAGCACTAATATATATATATATATATATATATACATATATATATATATATATATATATATACACACACACACACACACACACACACACATATACACACACACACACATATATATCTCAGAGTTATTGGAATGGATTGTTCTGGTATTTGGCACACGTAAATAATATTGTCACATTCTTCACTTGCTTAATAATGAAAAAAAAGCATTGCGAGCCAAGTTGTTAGTGGAACTTTTGGCATCAATGGTCCCTATGATCTACTTGGGCTTATGATACTTTTGAGAAACACAGCCCAGGTCCGATGGATGGGGTGTTTTTACTCGGGTGGCTAAAGGTCCTTCTCAGCATGCCATGCAACTGCAGCAAACACTGGTGAGTATGGATTTTTTTTGTATGTTTGCTTATATTTTTGTCCTTTTGTAGGCGCTCTTAATCTTTTGATTATAACTGTTGCCTACTGTAGTCATTCCGCATGTGCTCGTGATTTTAATTTACAACCTATTTTGGGTAAATAAATAAAAAAATGTAGCCCAGCATTTAACATTTAACGCAATCTAGCGTTGGGTTGTCTGAATTACCCAAATTATAAAGAATCCTAATACACAAGACTTCAATTAACATACATTAGAAAAGAGTAACATCAAGAAAATCAGAAAGCAACATATACTAAGGCTCTTAATGGTCAGTACCATTAAGGTGGGTCTTAGCGAAAGTCCATTTTCTTAATGCAGCACACCAGTTATTACCCCATCTTTCCTGGCTGTGTCAGTGAACCTATCCGGCATCTCTCTCAAAGTGACGTGGTGTTTGTTGGGGTAATTCCTGATCGGTTCGTGTGTGTGTGTGTGTGTGTGTGTGTGTGAGAGAGAGAGAGATTAATCACGTCCATATGAGAATAATGCTGAGCACAGCTCTCTCTCTCTCTCTCTCTCTCTCTCTCTCTTTGAGATAACCTGTCAGTGGAGGAAGAGAGCTACAGCTCAAGGCGATCGATGCAGTGTCTGACCCTCAATACAGCAAAGCAGGAAGAGAAAGAGAGAGAGAGCGACAGGGAGAGAGCAAGACAGGCAGAGACACCGAGCGAGACATGCAGCCTAAAAGAGATTTGTTAATTGGGTTATACAATGTACTGGAACATAAGTTTTGTCAAACTATTATCTAATCTTTTGATGTTGTTTAATAGGGAAATACACTGTGGAACAACCAAGTTTATACAGTACAAGCTCATTAAACTATTTTTGCATGAGATTACAGACAGGGAAAATAACTCCATGACAGCTTTCATTTGAACAAAGTATATAAACGCAAACCCTCTAGCCATGCAAACTCTATTTCACACATTATTGTTCTGAAACATCTGAGCACAAATATGTTGTATTTTCAGTATTGCAGCAAGAGGCACTAGAGTGGTTGTACTTCTACCGTTTTAGAGTAGTTCACTTTTAAAAAAAAAACTTTTGCTGATAATTTACTCACCCCCATGTCATCAAAGATGTCCATGTCTTTCTTTCTTCAGTCGAAAAGAAGTTTTTGATGAAAACATGCCAGGATTTTTGCCATATAATGGACTTCAATGGGAACCAAACGGTTCAAGGTCCAAATAAGAGTTTCTGTGCAGTTTCAAAGGGCTTTAAACGACACTTTAAACGGCTTTAAACGACATTTGTCCTTAAGTTTTATAAGGAAAAATGCTCGCCTTGCCCTTTGAAGCTGCACGGAAACTCTCATTTGGACCTTGAACCGTTTGGTTCTCATTAAAGTCCATTATATGGAGAAAATCCTGGAATGTTTTCATCAAACACCTTAATTTCTTTTCAACTGAAGAAAGAAAGACATGGACAGAGTAAAATACCACCAAAAGTTTTTTTTAAAGTGTACTACTCCCTTAAATTGCATTGCCACAAAAAAACAACAAAAAAAAAACATGAGTTAAGCTGCAACCATCCAAGTGGTTTAAACTTTTCTGCTGATGTAACGGAGGCCATGTGGGCGGAGAAAGATACTATTAACCAATCATATCATATCCTAACATGTTTCACTTCCTCACCAAAAAAATCTAACCCAACTTTTAAACATTTCCTCCAGTATTTTTTACACTATATCGTAACCAGACACAGCACACGATAAAATGCATCTTTTCTATGTTAATCAGAGTTTTTGTCCTAACCAAAAGCAACACACAATGAGATAAACGGGATTCTATTTTTGGGATGGTTTCTATTTCTGCCACGTCACAGCTGACAGCTCAGGTACTGATTACGTTTTGTATGATATTACAATGCTTTCTTTTGAGTTTGTATAATGCTGAGCTTACAATGAAAGAGACAATGGAGATCTTTTAAGATCTTGAAAATAACTCAAAAGAATGTTGAACTGTGTGAACAAACAAGTATATTTATATTCCAGATATTCCGTTTGCATCAGTCCCCGGGTATGGTTTTTGAACAACAAAAATGTTTTTTTTTTTTTTTTTTTTTTTTTTTTTTATCAGTTTGATTAAAGAGCCCCTATCATGGATTTTTGAAAATGACTGTTCATGTAGTGTGGACTATAGCTCTAAGGGAATGAAAACATCCTGCAAAGATTTATATCTGAAAGTGCACCGTATATAAAGTTATTGTTTTTCAAAAGTGAGAGTCCACTCTGAGTCTATGAAATGAATTGTTTTTGAAACGAGTCATTAGCTGTTACGTCGTGACGTAGATAGGTCATTGGCCACTCCCAACAACTGTGCGCGCAGACTTGAAGTGACGTCTAGAACACATTCAAATACTTCAGCTGAATAGCATCATGTCGAGAAGACGCTGTGTTCTACATTACAAAGACAGTTCAGCCACTTGTTTTCATTGTCCAGGGACAAGCATGTGAAGAATCAGCGGTGAGAGTTCATATTTGCAGCGATACCACAACAGTACAGCCCGAACCTTGTGTTCTCATCATTTTAATGACGAAACATTCGCAAGCCGGTTGTTCCCGAGGGAGGGCTCAGTATCCAGTGTATATGGATCAGGTTCGTCCTCCTCCGAATCACAATCTGTAAGTATTATTAATAATGTTTGCTGTTATATTTTCTGTAGCATGCACACTATAGTTATATTGTGTTATGCGTGTTGTGTACACTCCGTGCAGCTTCTAAGTGGGTAAGGTTAGTTTTGTTTTTGATATTCACCAGACATTCATTGAAAAATGGCAATTGCCTCCTAAACGACTTAGCCAAATATGACTTCGCTCTATATAATAAGC